TTAATTGAAATAAAGCAATAAAAAGGCTTGCAATAAAATTTTTAAAAGATAAGGAAACATTGGAGACATTGTGAGAGTTTCCACTCACCAAGGAGTGCCAAGCACAGAGAGGAAATGTCCTAATTTTCCATTCATTGTTTATCATGTGAGGACTCTCAAAGGGAACCTTCATGAATTCCAAATTTATTTCCATTTGTTAACTTCTGAAATGTTCTGCAGTGATAAACCCTCTTTGTAATGAAATGCTTCCAAAAATGGATGAACAAGTCAATGGGGAGATTTTTTAAATTATTTATTATTCTTATTGTTTGCACCATTTTTTTAAAAAAATCATATTCTTTTGTTACCATAGGTTATATCATGTGCCACAGTCCCATCTGTAAGGAAGGAAATGCTATCTCATGGACTTCAAATTGTGTCTGAACAAGAGTTGAAATCTGTATCTATACTTTTGTTTTAGTTGGAAACTGAAGTTCAATGTATCTGGAAGACAAACTAGAAAAGTTGGATAGACAATGCACTGTTCTCACCCCTGTCAGTGGGATCTATTCATCTGTTTGCAGCATTTCAAGTAGGTAATGGAATGGAGCCATCTTTTTAATGGATCTCATATTTTCTGCTTTGTATTAGTTATTGAACTACCTGCCCTATCCTTTACCATTTTTGTCTTTTTTAGGTTGGTCAGTAAACAAAATAAGGAAACTTACTAATGTTTTATGTCCCATAAGGTCTTTTTGTGATGCAGCTCGGGGCACTGAAGATAATTAAAGTTAGGGACAGATTCAGCCACCCAACTCTGCTCAAAAGGCTGGAACAAGAGCACAGGGCAAAGATAAATAGACCCTAGACAATTATTAGAACAAGTTATCTTGATGTGTGCAACTTGCATCAATGTATGTTTAGGAACAGCAACAGACTCTCTTTTTTATGAATAATTTTATTAGAAATTTCATTGTATAGATAAAACCAATACAAATATAAGAAAATAAAATGGTACAAAGAAAAAAATAAGTTCAAAAAAGAGAAAAGAGAAAGCGAAAAAGGTATTTCCACCTTCATCACAGCAAGCATTTACTTTTATTTTTGCAGGAATAGAAATAGCATCTTAATATTGGTCTCCCTATATTACAGAATTATACTTCTGTTCTGTACCTATGAACATATTGCTATACGCTTCTCAGAACTGTAGCTTAAAGCAGATCCAGGTTAGAAAAATTTCCTAACACGAGTTCAGCGGCAGACACAATTACCTAATGCTGTTCCTTACAAGTCTTTAGACAGAGGTTAGTCTCCAGACTTGGAAAGACCCAACACGAAGATCAGCCAATTTTACCCATGGAAATTCAAGCATATTGTGAATTATTAACAGTAATTCTATATAAATCCCTAGCCCAGCCTAGAGTGGCTGTTTTGGAAAAAAAGATAAAGGATGAAATGTTAAATAAATATGTATCTAAATTAAGCTTCCAAAAAACAAATGAAATATAAATCTAATAAGCAAGTGATGGATGTGATTTCATGATACTCATTCAACAGTTCAAAACAGCTAAGGTTGCCCATTCTTGCTTTAAAATAACTATTGCAGAATTTAATGTCCAGTGAGATTGGCTCAATCTATTCAGTAAGGAGCAGATTTTTTTTTTTAAAAAAAATCCATTCTCCATAAATCAATAAGTTAGAAGATATTTTTCAGTGGAATCAAAAGGCACCTGGAAAATGAGGAAGCACATAATGAGCAAAATAAAACCTATTATGTGCTACAGCTGGAGAAAAGTCATACTAGGATAACAGGAAGCTGGAATGAGAAGTTATTCTGTTTATGTTTGTTACATGACTCTGAAAGTTTTACTTGTTTTATTTTGAGTAAGGCTTAGAGCTAGGTTTCAGGTTCTTCCTATGTTAAAGCCCAACTGGTTTGTCTGCTCCTAATAAGTCGGTAGCTATTCTCACTTCCAGGTTTTGTTACATGCCATCTGGACAAGCTTTTGCAGTTGCTCAACTCCTGTTGGAAGATTACAATCAAAACTCTTTCCAGGCCACACAAAGATTTTGCCCTTTGTTCATCCCAAAGGCATTTGTTCTGGACATAACGCAAAGTTTATATACAATTTATTTCCGTAAACTACACTGAATCCATTTGCAAGCAAGGTTTATCTCACTTCCTTGGTAATGTTCATGCAGGCACATTGGGGGAAGAGTTACTGTATTCTTATCCTCTCATAGTCAACTCCAGTCCAGATTGGGTTTACTATTCTTGGGGAAAAGGATGTGATGTTGGTGAAAGAAAATAAGAAAGCATTATGGTGCTGATATTCTGGTTTTATCTATTATCAAACTCCTGGCCCACGGGCCAGATGCATCACGCACGGGCCATGCCCATCTCCAGTTTAGCAAAGGAGAAAACAATAACGATACATCACATGATGACATGACGCCACGAGTTTGGCACCCCTGATCTACTTAAGTAAGAAATTGTCCCCTCCAAATTCCAATGTTGTATTCATACAGCATCTAAACCAAACAAAACATATACTATGTGGGAATCCAATTATTTCCATCATCTCTTTCTCTCTCTCTTTTCCCATGGATTAAATGTCAAGCAAAGGTTTTTTTCAAATGGGAGATTCTTCTGATGTATAGTTTTGACGATATCTGCTAAAAAAGATATAATGTAGATAATTGTGTTGTTTCAGTAAATGTGTGCTTCAGCAAGAATCTGAACACAACAAACATTTCTGTATTCCCTCTTCTTTTAACCCTCTGAAAATCTTTAAGGCAAGCAAGTATTATAGCTGTGGAAAGAGATATAGAATGTGAAATGGAATAGTAATGTGGAAGTACTACATCAGACCCTGCTGGCCAGAAATCTTCATAGCAGAAATTCATCTCAAATATATGAACAGAGAATCAGTAGGAAGAGGAAGAATAGGAAGGAGATAGAAGAGATTTATGATATGCATATTTTCTTTAGATGATTATTTTTTAAGATTATTTTAAATAAAGTAATCTAGAGGATATGATTAGGAGGATCTAGCTGAAAGTAAACAGAAAACAAACTGGAATAAGATTAGATAATACTCTGGATAAAATATGTCCATCTGTTTAGTAATCTCATGCTTGAGTGTCACTTACATAAAAGAATAACATCATCTATGAGTGGGAATAGGCTTGGGGGAACCTCAATATTTGCAAAAGTTGAAAGAAAAGGGAATCCTTGAGGATTTAGCACAGAAGGATGTGGATGCCCAGTAACTACAGAATCATAAATATATGTTGGCAAGAAAGAAAATTACAGTTGGCAAGAAAATAGTGTTAACCATTTTTTTGGAGGAGATAATTTAATTGAAACTAATTTTTAGTTTATTTGGGCTAGTAATTGTCCTAAGTATGAATAGCTCAAATCGGCAAACTAAGAAATGAATTTCACAAACATTAAAATTTCCACCTACTTGTTTGTCATCACATACTTCATCTGATTTTCTAAGAACTTATTTATATATTGAGGTAAACAGTGTTAGATGCATGACCTGAGAAGTATTCAGTGCAAAACTCAGTTTAACTATGAGCTCAAATATTAGTATAAAATCAAAGGGACCCCAATAACAATTTTTTTTTAAAAAAAAACCTGCCCCATTTTGTTAAAAAGCATAAGCTTTTATGCACTAAAGCTCACATCAACTGATTCATCCTCTATCAGTCTATCCTCTATCAAGTCTAGCCATTTCAGGTGTCTGATGAAGTCTATCCAATTCTCCTCCAACAGCAGCACCCAGAGTAGTTTATTTTAACCATGAAGAAAAAAAGAACTATTTAAAGAAATGTAACTGTTTCCATTCAAATCCAGGCATGGGACTATTTTGTGCCACATGGCTGAACATTTGTTCCTTAATCTTGTTCCAATCAAATAAAGCAGTATCTAGATAAATTTTAGTTTTATGTGGGAGGGAGGTGGGTGGCAGAGGCGGGAGTGGTATACTTCTAAAATCAACACCCAGAAAAAAGTCCTTTCCTGTATCTATCACTTCTTTTTTTTGGCAGACATTCAGGACACGCCAGGAGGGTAAGCGAGGGTTGTATAAAATAACACTCACACATAACAGCGTGTTCTAGACCAAGATAAAAACACTTATTCCCATAACCTCTGAATTCTGTCACGACTCTCTCAATTAAAATACTGTTTCTTCACTTAAAAATGTTTTATTGAATTCGCTGGGACTTATTCCCAGGAGCCTAACAGCCTAAGTCTGTAAAACCAGTGGTGTATTAACCATTAAGCAGACTAAGCACATTCTTAGGGCACCAGGCCCAAAGGGGGCACCACAAAGTTGAGAAAGAAAGAAAAAACCAACGAAGATTTGTAAAAAATCTTGTATGCGTAAAGGAGGGTGCACCAAGATTTGTCAGTGCTTACAGCACCAGTGAGCCTTAATCCGTCACTGTGTAAAACCCATATTTACAGAAAAGACTCTTGTAGTGACTGTAGCAAATGTTTGTTTGCTAATGCAAACCTATGAAACCAGCAAGCTTTGTTGTTTGAGGATTTGTAGTAAAAACCACAAGGTGAAACTGGTTCCATCTGTAGAAGTCCTTTCCTCTTGAATAGTCTTTTGGCAATTAACCTGCCTTGCAAAACAAAATAACCCCCCCACTCCCTAAAAAAAGAAGCAAACAAAAATAGATTCTGCATCTCCCGATTTGCAGAGGGTTTTTCCGGATTCCTATTTTTACCTTGACAGTCAAATATGTAACTATTTAAAAAGCTCTATTTTTGAAAATAAAAAATTCCTTTCTTGCCGAAAGAAAGGAAAGCCTTGGACCAACCAGCACTGTTAGAGCAAGATGGATAAAGCACGACTTTCTGCGTCAGACCACCACTTCTCAACACGCTTCGCGGGCGAACGCCTTATATGGGAGGTGTCGATCGATTGTCGTCTGGAAAAGCAAATCAGAGGGCGAAAGGCGGCCGCTCGAAGCCCTGCCTCCCCTCTATATAAGGGACCCGCGGCTCCGGGAGACGCTAAACCATCCTGTCGGGTTCACGTAGCCTTTTGGTTGTGGAAGAGCATGCAGAGTGTAATATTTCTGGCGTTCCAGCACGACTGCAGCCGAATGGAGAAAAGCGCTAGCCGTTGCCAGAGCAAAGAAGAAAAAAAGGGCAAGATGAAAAAAACCATGTGAGTATTTAAATCGAAAGCAAAAAAAAAAAAAAAGACGGGAATATGCAATGAGCATATTTTAGCCAATTCAATTCTGTTTATTGCAGTCATAGAAAGACCAGAGACCATAGTTAACGAGGAATTGCTTTGTTTGGAAAAAGCCTCAGGAACATAAACTTTTTTTCCCCTTTCGGCCAATTTGGTGGCTCGACAGAGCACGTTTTAAGCGAGGGCTTTTGCGCGTAGGGCAGGTTTCCTCTGCACAGCATTGGTGGAATGATCGCATTTCTGAAGTTGCTGGGAAGTAAAGGAAGATGGACAATGTTGAGATCGCTTATTAATCCTTGTACAGCACGATAACGTCAACCGTAGTTTATGGCTTACATTGTGGGATCTCTGGCTGTTTGATTTATGGTTCAACCTATTGTGCAAAGCCAATTAGCTGATTTATTACATAACTATTCCAAGTGCAGGCTATGTTCCCAAAATGACTAATCTCAATTTTTGGGTTTTCAACACCTCCGTTGTTGTATGCATAGGTGTTGCCTATATGATGCATTAAAACAATGGAGGCTTACAAGCACTTCTCTTGTGAAACAATAAAAATAGTGTGTATGAAGGTGCATAAAGTAGCTTTAGCTTCTTTGGAAGCATTTAAAAAGAGTGAGACAAAGTCCTCCCTCTAAATTCTGGTCTGCCAGTATTCTAATTCACTTAAGGGCTAAAATTGTTTGGAGACAATTTTGCTACTTAAATTTCCTTTTTTTTAAAAAAATCACACTGAGTCATGCAGTTTGGCCATTAGCCCAGCTCTTGAGTAAATAAGGTAGATTTTCCATTAGAATGGAAGGTGAGTGCTGCTTGTGATATGAATTCTTCCTTGTTTTTGCTGATTGTATCAATCAGCAAAAACTCATCCTGCAGATGAGTGGTCTTGATTTGCTACCAATTTCTACAGAGAATTAAAAGTGCCTGCAAAGAAGAATCCTTGGAAGCTGGGAAAAAGTAATTTGCTTCTGCAGAATGTGATGATTATGATCTAAAATTAATCCTATATTATGCAGTCTGCACCATGCAAACACTTTTATTTTGAAAGTTAAGGATAAGGGAAAGAGCATAAAACTGCTTTCATTTGGATCTCTTTGCAACAACAAAAATGAATGTGATTTCATCTTACCTTTTTACTAGTTCATAGCATAATTATAGCTCTAATATATTGCAATATACCTTAGAACATATTTTTTACTACTGAACCTGTATTCTGGAACAGTCATTGTTGGTTCACTGCCACAAACAATATGTAAGAATTTTCTTAGGCTAGTGAGCATCAAGCAACCCATAACCTTTCTGTGTAATATTTCTTAAATATGGTGAATAACTTTTAGTTCACATAATTCATGTGATGGAGAATAAAGATGTATATCATTACGAGCTGTAGTTAATGAATTTCCAAATGGATCTGGGAAACCAATGCTACAACCAAGCTCTGCTTATGTTAAATTAATGCAAGCTGAATTCCATCTATTGTTATTAACTAAATTTACGGTAAACTATATGCATTTTTGGTAAAAGGACAGTTGAACTTATTTATACTTTCCTCCTTCATTTTAGCCTAAAAGATTGGAAGGCAAGATTGAATTACTTTCTGCAGAATTCCTCCAATTCTACCAGTGCAAAGGCTAACAAGAAAGGACAACAAAAGACATGTTTTAGGTATGTATTTTATATTTCACATTGATGGATCTTTAGTCAAATTATTTATGGAATTTGTGCCCTTTGAAAACCTTAAACAATTTTATCTTTTTTCACAGACCTTCTCCTGAAGAAGCTCAGCTGTGGTCAGAAGCATTTGATGAACTTCTAGTTAACAAATGTAAGTTGCTTTAAAAATAATTAACAGACAAGCATATTTGCTAATTTTGGAAAGTTAGTTTTTAGGAAAACTGATCCAGAAGGGAAGGAACCAGAATCTTAGCTACTGAGAATTCTGAGGGATGTTTGCAGTTTGGTAGTAATATTCCTAGTTTAGCTCTTAACTCCCTAGGCCCCATATTGCAAGAAAAAGCTTTTTTCTTCTTTAGGCACAATTCCCAGATGCTTTCTGTGAAATAGCTACCTATGTATTATATTTGTGCAATTCTGTTCTGTATTTTAGTTAAGTATTGGCCTTTGTAGTTAGTATTCATAGGTTTAAAAACTCCCATCAGTAGTTAGTTAGAAATGCAGGGGTCCCAACTTTAGTTGAAATTTGAAATCTCTGGATCCTTGAGATCTCATTCTTCTCTTTAAATGGATCCTAACTACTTGACATGGCAGCAGCTTCCAGGGCTGATACTTTTTATTTCAACAGTTATTATAAATAACACATTGTACAGTAGTTCTTTTTTTAATAACTAATGCACACTTCTATTAAAGATATGGGAGTTATTAGCTTGTCAGCTACGCAAAAGTAATCTTGGTCCTATTAAACTTTCTAATTGCATCCTATTTGCTGCAAAGTGGGCTTGGGTCATTCTTTCTTAAACAATTTAGAGGAGGAATAGACAGAAAAATCCAAGGGCATGAGAGAAGGAAAAAAAATGTGTGTGTTACATCTACAACATTCCTGGGATGCTTTGCATGAATTGATCTTTTTCACATTTCTTTGCAGATGGTCTGGCAGCTTTCAGAGCTTTCCTGAAATCTGAGTTTTGTGAAGAGAACATTGACTTCTGGCTGGCCTGTGAAGATTATAAAAAAATCAAGTCCCCACAAAAACTGACAGCCAAAGCTAAGAAGATTTACAGTGACTTCATTGAAAAGGAAGCTCCTAAAGAGGCAAGTAGACTGACTTAAATTGCTCTTTTTAATTAGTTCAATTAAACCAAAGAAGTGTTCTCGGGCTTTTGGTTTCACTATTCCAAAGAGGGATTCTCTTAACAGAAAACAGTCATTAGAATTATAACTAGCTTTTAGAATTTATTAACAAAATTCTTTTTAGATTTCTGTTCCATTATATATTAGCATCTTATGTAGACTTGCCTGTATGGCATTCTATAACTTTGTATATCAATACATTGCTAAAGGTTTAGGATCTTTTGCTATCAGGAATTTGGAAAGGACAAACTGAATTCTTCTATATAATAAAAGATTTCAGAAAATACTGAACTCGCAAAATGCACCTCATACATTTTTTTCCAGTAGTGGCTATTGGAGTTGTGCAATGCTTTAGGATTTGGAAACAATGCTTCAGAATATGCAGAAGTGTGAATACTAGTATTCACAAGCATGTATGTATTTCCAGAGTTGTGTGGACAATGCAAAAAGTCTCTCAAAGTACTGGCACAGTTACTGTAACACAACAAATAACAGTTGCATTTGCTTTAATGAGTTGCTTGTTCAATTTTTGAAGCACTTTTTCTCAATCAAAATTAAAGCATTGCATAGCTCCAATAGTTGTACAAGTAGAAGCATGGTGCATATTTTTAAAAGCTGAGAATTATAATTACTGTGGAAGGAAGATTTGACAAGAGAAAGGAAATGTTATCATTCAGTGCAGCTGTCATCTACCTTAAATTCCTTTAAAGCAGACTTCTTGATGAGTTGGATTTCAGTTCTCAGAATGCTATGCTGTTTGGCGAGAATCATGTAGGAGGCTAGATGGCGGGGAGGATTGTTTAAGAACAACTATTCTTCCCTGTAGGTTTGCTTTGGCTTACAGATGTGTAGCAGGGGTGTCAAACTCACATCGGCATGGTGGTGTCATGTGACATAATTGGGGCTTTTTTCCCCTTCGCTAAACTGGGCACGGTCAGCACGTGATGCATCCAGCCCATGGGCCGGGAGTTTGACAGCCCTGATGTATAACAATCGGCCTCTGATTATTTGATGATAGGGAATGAGTGTATCTCGAGAATCCAGTATCCTGTAGCACAGCCATTTTTGAAGAGCATCTTATCCGTGCAACAGTATCCTTACAAATTTCTTCTTGTATTACAGATCAACATAGACTTTCAGACCAAAAACAGTATTGCTCAGAGCATCGAAGAAGCCACACACACATGCTTCAGTGCAGCCCAGAAGAGAGTTTATAGTTTAATGGAGAACAATTCCTACCCTCGCTTCCTAGAATCCGAGTTCTACCAAGAATTGTGCAGAAAGTCACCAATCAGCAGAGACTCTCAGGAGACATGAACCCATAAAGCAGGAAGGGGAAGAAAATTCCAAAGAATAAATCTGCCAAATAAAGGAAAGAGGACCATGTGTCTTTGATGGCTCAGTGGGTCCGATGAACTGAATGCAAAGGATATCTGCCCAAATGGCAATCTACAGTTATTCAGCTGATGGAACTAGTTGACTTGGGCAGACTCTAGCAAGTTGCCCTATTAATGTTTAAAGGTAACCACACAAACTGCTGGCCAGTTATTAAGGAAAGCTGATTTTCCTCCCCATATATGTTTTTATAATGTTTTGTGCAGCATTGGACTAGTGTGATCATCCAGCTTTGTATTTGAACCTGGATATGCTGATGCTCATAAGAAAAACCAGTGCCCTCTATATTTAAATATAAACAAGCTCTAAGACTGTTCTTGTAAGCTGACCTTTTGTGAGACCTGACAAATACTTTGAATAATTGGCTTTTGTTTCTAAATAGCCAGCAGTATGTAATAGCTGTATCAGCTTCCCTATGCAGGTTGTTCCCTGCAGATCATGCAGCTTTGTACCAATGTAGCAGATTGCCTCATGACTGTTACAACAAATACCAATATTGTGGTATGATTTCTTCGAGATAAGAGCAATTACTTAATTGATTTAAAGTACAGAGCATGATCTGCTAATTGGCGAGGGACAAATTCAGTCTGTGAGCATATGCCATTTGGAATAAAACCTGGTCTAGAATTCAAATGAATGCTGTGAGTGTGTTTGTGTTTATATAGCGAATTTGTTGTACACTCCTGTCAATGTTGAACGTACTGACTTTAAGGACAGGCTTCAGTGAAGTCGTCTTCTGTTTTGAGAAGCAGATGTTTCAATAAATTATTTTTATTTTATTAAGAACAATTTCTCGTCATTTCTCTGGGATTGGAGGACAAAAGTGGACTGTATAGGTTAAGCTAAACCACTCGATTTATCTCAGTGTGATGTATAAAATCAGGAAGCCACTAGAATGTTTTACTGCCCCAGTGATTTCTTTGCCCAATTGCCAGCTAAAGCAAAAAGATTGAGCTATTTCCTGTTACAACATATAGTGGCAAACCCAGGGTAAAGCACCATAATTCCATTTCCTGTGAAATGTCAAGAAAACACGCCGCAGAATTTCTGTGAACATGCAAAATTTAAAATATGAATATACCCTGAGGATCATATAATGGACTGTAAGAAGGCACAATTGCTGGGATGCGATTGGGGATTTAACCTGATACGTATCCAGCTGACTTTTAATCAAGTCCTATCTGAGTTACGTAACTATGTGCAAGACCCTTTCATGGTCCTGTGAATGATTATCAGCAAAGCTTATCTGACTTAGCACTTGATTAAAAATCAGCTGGATTCATTTGTCATCACAGGGTGATGGTCCTTTTAGATAACCTGAAAGAAGAGAGTGACCATTCTCTGCAATTTTCAATTGTCATACAAAGTTAACAGATATCCTGTTACTCTAGAGAACAATGGAGAGCGAATATTGGGAGAACACCACTTCTGTTGTCTGTTCTTGAAGATGCAGGATGGAAATCTTTATAAAGCTTTATGGAGCAATAAAATTATCAGGGATCACTATTTCAGAGGGTGGGAACACCATGATTAAGAATTACAAAGCATTCCTTTCAAAGATGGTTGAGGTGTGGGGAGGGAGAATGCCTAGAAAGTATGGAAATTGGTGTGTTTATATCATGTTTCATCACATGTAAATATGTGGTGTGTTTATATCATATTTCATCACATATAAATCCTCATTTGCTCAGTATGAGTGGTACGTTCCAGGTAATCAAATTTCAAGTTCACTGAGAGCTAGATCTAAACCTTGATCAGTACAAAAAGATCTTGTGTACTAAAACAGATTTCTAATTGGCTACATTATGCTGAAATTGAAATAGTTTTTTTTTATTTTTTAAAAAAATTCTCATAAGATGTTTGTGTAATTCTCAACCATTAGCAGGTCAACACTGAGACACTGAGACATAGCCTAAAACAGGCTACTTTAATGTGTGTGGACTTCAACTCCCAAAATTCTCCAGTGGATTTTCTAGGCTTTTTTTATTGGGATGCTCCTGAAATTTTCTGCCTCCTCAGAAGTAATTAAGATGAAGAAAGTTACTCTGGCTTAATTTATTTTATTTGCTATTTTGATAAATGGGCATGTATTTCCCTACAAAATGTCATCTTGAACCATACCTAATGAATATAGTTGCATAGTGGCACTAATGGCAACTAACAGGACCACTTAGAATTTAGACTTGTCCCACATTTGAAAAGGCATAAATCTAATTCCATGAAACAGGATATAGATGATAAGGAATAACACCCTTCCCCAAAACATTTAGCAATACTGCATTCCCCTGATCTAAGATACATGCAAATGATTCGGCACTCCATACACTGGGGTATGCCACATTATTACAGATTGTTAACATCAGAACCTGCATGGTATATAAATCAAAGTTTTAATCAGATTAGCGAAGAGATTCACAAACCTTTTCCTTCCCATTTTATTGCCTACTATACTCCATATTTCAATAAGGCCAAATTTTAGCTCTAAATACGGACTGGCTACTCCATTATTATAAATTAATTCATAAGCAATAAAATGGACTAAGCCATATTAATGAATCATAGCTAAGCCCATATATAGTATATTATACTTCATACACATTATGTTTTCAGATATTAATCCAGACTAAACAAACCAAATTGTTTTTTAGACCATGGGTGATGAATTTGCTGTGTCACATTGCCATCACGTGACATTTTGTAATGTTTTCCCCATTCGTGGAGCTGGGGTGGGTGTGGCCTGCGTGTGATGCATTGGCCCGTGGACCGCCAGTTTGACACCCCTGCTTTAGACTATAGCATAAACTAGTTTTGAGTTCCTTGGAAGAAATTTTCCTGTCCTCTTTACCACCACCACCACCACCATCATTTCTCTCCTTTTTATCTTTTGACTACTTAGTTGCAGCCCACTTTAATACAGCTGTAGCCCTACCAAATAAAAGTATTGAGCAGTGGTGGCTCAGTTGTTAGAATTCAGGATTGCAGGATAACATTCCAATTATAAGGAGTTCAATCGTGACCAGCTCATGATTGACTCAATTTTCCATCCTTCCAAGGTCAGTGAAATAAGGACCCAGATTGTTGGGGGCAATCTGCTGACATCTGTGAACCACTCAAAAGAGTGTTGTGAAGCACAATGGAGCAGTATATAAGTCTAAGTGCTATAGTACTATTGCCATTCTTGATGAGGATGTGGAAATTAGGGTCTATATGCTACCTGTCCTCTATGACTCAGTCATAATCCAGTCAAATTATCAATTTAGTTCAGAAAAGTGACCTGGGTTGATTCAAAAACTGGAATTAATTGGAATACTGCTCTAATTCGCTCTGAATGTTGAAACTGAAGATTGAACGAGTTTGAATACATTCTGGTTTTTAAATTGATTCAGAAAAATTCTGTCTATATGAAAAGCAACCAAATCCTTTGAATTAATTTAAAGGATTCAAATTCAGTCTGACAATTTGAATCCACTTTCCAATTTGATTTAGAAAGGCAATAAAATCAAAGTTTTGAGAAATTATCTTTGAATTGATACTCTCATTGTCAAGCAAATTAGAGAAAATTCAGTTTCCTATTCCCAGTTAATTAACAATAGCAACAAAATATATTTATCCATTCATAAATTAAATTGTTGAAACAATGTTTACAGTAACTATGTATGGACTTTTGTGTCCTTAGCTGGTGCTTTATTCCTATATTTAACATATTCAGGTGCAAATTATATTTCATTTATAAAAATAATGTCTTCACTGAAATCAGGTTCAAGTTAAAAATATGTAATTTTCTCTAGTTGAGTTATTGGGGTGGGGAATAAAGAAGGAAACATGAAAAGAAACTGTGGTGCTTGCACTTGTGTTCAAATTTCTCATTCTATTAAACTGTATGTTTCACTGTTACGTTTGCACTTTCCATTCCCATCAAAGAGATACTTGACAGAGAGAGTATGAAGGAGTATTTATAATTCAATGCTGAATTCTGAAGGACCATAACCATCTGTAGAATATCTAAGAAGCACTTAATAACTTGAAAGCCAGTCCAAAGACTACATTGAAAGTACTACAGTACTCTAAATGTTTTGATAAATCCCTTTAGTTATTTAACATCAAAGAAGAGAGTGTGAAAACAAAAGAAGAAACAAAGGTATTTTATGGCTCTGTTCTGGGCAACCTGACAATGATCGCATTTGGCTTTTTGCTATCTGTCTCCATAATGATGAATTTTTGTTTAATCTGCAGCTGCTAAAGGGCTACTATTGACCACTGCTTTTTCTCCAAGTGAAATGCTAGGCACTGATGTCCAAGTGGCAAACAGTCAAATCTGAAATCTGACTCTAATTGGGGTGAATAATGAAAACTAAGGTTTTGGACTGATGTCAAAACAGTCTCTAATGCACTAGGTTCAGATGGCCTTCCCAAATTCTATAAATTTTAGATAGAGGAATGGGGTGAATTGTTTCTCCTAACGTTTCCAGGAAATGGAGGAATTCAACAGTTTTTCAATGAATAGTATACCCCTTTGGAGTTACAAAACCACTCCTATTAAAATATGTTCAGTTCACTCATAATATCTTTCCTTTAATTGGTTTCATTAATTAAACCAATTAAAATGGCTTAATTGAAGAGTGAGAAGTCAGAGCAGCTGTAGATCTATCAGTAGCCCCTACAATGATTGCACAATTAAGCACAAATTCTTCACACAGACCCCTTGGCCATCTCATAACTTAGTAACTATATAAGTACAAGTATACAATACTTATTCATAAGAGCTTTGTTAAACTTCTCTTCTTTGAAAGAATTTCAAAAGCAAATTTGTTTCCATCACAATAAATGGAGGAAAAAACACTTTTTCTGTCTAGCATCAACTCATGTCTCATGCTAAACCATAATTGAATGATACAAGCTCCTGTTATAGTATAACAGGGTATCATATATTTGTCTTTGAACTAATAAAGTGTTATGCTTAGCCTAATGTGTGAGCTCTTCCTATAAATCAACTTTCTCCAATACAAAGGCTGTCCTGGATTTCAAGTCCCACAGTTTTTAGTTGATTTAGTTTTTTTAATGTTCCCCTGAAAATGATTAATGTTGAAGTCCAGTACACTTTGAAAGCAAATTGTTAGGGAAGTTGTTACAAGTTCAGATTTAATTGAGGAAGTTGATATCTTTCAACAGATCATAGGCTGCACAAGAGAAAGAGATGTTTGACCCCAAACAAATTCTGGTTAAAAAGCACATCTAATAAGAGCAAATATCATTTGGGCAAAAACACTAAATACTGCCTTAATATATATCAGAACAGGTGTCACTCTCAGGAAATCAAAAGCCCAGACAATTCAAATGAATATAAGGGTTTATTGTAAGCTTAAGCTTTCT